AATTTTTGTTCTTACCATTTATTGCTGGGTTATAGATGGTCATTTAGCATCCACAAATGTTCTAATAGGTTCTAAGCTTTATATGATGGGCGGTATAATAGGTTCTCGTCTTGATTCTACTTTTTTTTATTACGATTTTTCAATTCCTTTTGATGCTTCGTTTCCGTCATATAAGTCTCTCGATCCGATCCCTGTTTATACTGCATGGGGAACTGCATCTGTTGGAGGATTAACCATGTCTGAAATATTTTTGTTTGGTGGTATAATGAATAATAAAAATGATAGTAGTTTAAGCAAAAATTTAATTTATTGCTTTAATACTATTAATCGAACTTGGACAGCTCCAAAAATTTCAGGAGTTCAACCACTAAGACGTAGAGAAGCTTCTTCTACTTTTAATCCTAATAATGGATGGATATATATTTTTGGTGGATCAACAGTCAAAATTAGTAACTTTAATGACACCTTGTTTTTTAACGATTTTATCGTACTGGATTCAGTTGATTTATCTTGGGTTAATATTAAATCGCCTTTAAACGCAACCACACCAACAAGAAGAGCTTATCATACTGCAACGCTCATTAGGAATGGTTATATTGTTATTATTGGTGGAACTGAAATGACTGATGACCGTATTCTCCAAGATGCTGACATTAATCAGGTATAAATTGATCATAATATTAGCTATTGATGACAGTATCTTTTTAAATTAAATTCAAGCATGGCCTATTTTAGATTTGGTTATATGATACTAATTCGGGAACATGGACGTATCAAGTAAGTTCACATCAATATTAGTCTATATTATTTATATATATTATATTTCGTGTAGTCATGCATTTATCTGAAGTAGCACCTGATCAGAATTAATGCTTATGATCTAAATTTTATTCAGACATGTGTTAATTCATATATCTCAATGTGACTACTTCAGATAGTATGCAACATATACATACATTTTTAATATACATTAATAATATTGAAATGTTAACCAAAATTACTTACAGTTCGCCGAAGGTGATAAAGTTACTGCACGCGGTGGTCATACAGCTGTTTTAGGTAATTATATTAAAGTTTCCAATAAAAAAAATAATAAAAATCAAATGACTTACAGTATCATTTAATTTATAATTACAGCACCTAATGGAAATATTATCATTTATGGTGGTAGTAATGTTAACAATATAAGATCCACACCAGACCTTATAATACTTAATGTCGCAGCTTCTCCATTTCAATGGTCAACGCCATCAGTCTCATCAGAAAACGCACCACCCCCACTTACTTATCATACAGCGGCCATTTTTCAAAACTATATGATTATATCAAATGGTAATCTTTGACAACCCATTATTTCATTATTGCATTATTAATTTTAAGCCACAAGTTAATCGGCATTTTGTTAGGTAACATAACAACCGATTTTTCCGAACCTTTAAGTTCAAATTTAAAGACCTATCTATTTGATTTAAATTCTTACAAGTGGGTTAACTTATGCATTCCATATTCAGGTATGCATATATATATATATATAAAGCGTTTTTGTTTTAATAATATATTGTTCTAATAATTTATAAAAAACAGATTCCATTCTAATAAAAATTATTCAAATTATCGGATATGTTATACATGGAACAATAGTTATTGGATTATTAATTATTTATTTCTTGAATTATAAAGGACCCAAAAATCAAACAAAGAGCACTTCAACTAAAGTACTTATAAAATAACTTTTTTAAAATTTATATTTAACAAACTTATTGCATATTGGACATTATTCAATTTATTCGATTTATAAATATTTAAAATTCGAAATAATTAAATTATTTTGCTGGTGTAACTAGATTCCCCCTATAATCACATTTTATTAAAATCAAATAATATTAAAAAAAGTTGCAAATTATTTTAGATTATATTAGGTTTATTCCTTGAAAAACTAGTGAAACTTAACCTTAGAGGATTTTCGATAAAAAATTATTTCTGTTGCCCAAAATCAGCCCTTTTTTTTCTTATTTGTAATAAATATAACTTTCATTTTGTTAATAACGATTCGGTAACAAATATTTTGATAGTTAAATATCACAAACACAAATGTCACTTAGTATATGAAATATTATAAATATTCGTCTATTTCTAATTTTGTTAGGGGAGGAATCTGTTCGCTATCGTTACAAGCCCTATTTTTTACATAATTATATTATTTTCCTAAGACAATTATGCAATTAGCCGGCCATAAACACATCACTAATGTACTCGTTAATGTTTTTTTACAATACAAACTCATAACACAACTTCAACTTCCCTATAATTCCTAAATATATAGAGAAAGCCGCCGAGGAGATCTACGAAGAGAGTCGGATTCATAGTGTGACGTATTTAAATAAAAGTATTCTTGCACTGATATTGCAGCCCCGGAGTCTAACTGCTGCAAAAAACAAGGTCTTTGCACTACTACAGTAACCGTGGAGCCTAATTGTTAAAGTCTTGACAAAATAAAGTCCTTGCACTACTGCTGCAGCTGCGAAACCTAATCATTACAAATCAAGATCAAAAATAAGATCCCTGCACTACTACTGCGCCGCGAAGTCTGTCCTTATTTAACAATACACTTCGCTTAGCAAATCATATGAGCTACCAAGCATTAAGCTCATTGTCGAGTCACTACAAAATGAGAAGGGTGGGAGGGATGGTAGAGTCAGTCTTTTGCGAGGCGAGAGATAATTAAGAAAGATGGCCTCCCTTTACCAAAAAATCACCCTAAAATAACACTGCATTTACAAGCACGTCCTTCTTCTTCCGCTCCTATTAATTTCATGCATGAACCCATATAATAACACCCTTATTAATTAACTAACACTTATATCAGTTCGCTACTTAACAATCATATACGATCATAATCCTAGCCAAGAAAATCTACATCTAGCGAGATAATGCAGCAGCCATTACAAAAACATTCTATAAAGGCTAACAAATTAGTAGTCATGCGTGAGAAAACTGATTACGTAGTATCGTGAGAAAAATTGTGATCTGTACAAATGTATTATCCAATTAGCTTCAATATTTTGCATTCTGATAAACTTTAAGATCTTGCTTTCGATTTATTCTTCAATAAAACCATCCACTCACGTTTCTGGTATAAATGAATAACTTGGTAAATGTTTTATTCATGCCATTACATTTGAGGCTATTAACTCTATAATTCTCAGATACTAGAATTGCCGCAGAATCGAATCGAGTTTATCTTGATATAAATGAATTTATTGTTTCAGAAATGATACGGTTGGTACAAAAAATGGAGATCTTCATAGTAGCAAATGTAAAATAATACCGTTGCTGTATCTATATCTTGCACAAGTAAAGACTGCAAGACATATATGATGTTTGTAAGCAAAAAGTTGGTGAACAGTTTTGTTGTACAATTTGTAAACTTGTAATCAAATGTTAGACAAGAAGGATTGTAAAATAAGATGTAGAATTTGCAAATGGTCCCAAATCAACTAGGGTTGTATTAAAGCAATGCATAATTTTAGTTTTTCTCAACTTTATCAAAATTAAACTTTTTTTGTAATAAATCACTTATTTTGAAATTTCTATCAAGAATAATAAATATCGTAATAATAAAATGATAACGTTAGATCCAATTATTTTTGCAGCGTAGATTATGTACTATTTTATTGTCCGGAGCGTACACTCAATTCTACGCATTACGTGATACAAAAGGCGCGTTTTGATGCATTCGACCATCAACATAATTATTATAAAAACAAATACGTATGTCAATGTTGTAATTTGGAAAATTTTTGTTTATTTTGAATTGATTAGTAAATACGGTGATACTCATGGTAAGACATTCGTATGATTGGCTGATTTAAATAAATTGTCCGGGTAACTTATTTATACACTTTCGGACTTACATTGGTTCCCGATTCCTAATGTAAATTGATTCATTTTGTCTGTTACAATAATAAGATTACGTTAATTATTGTCGCGGATGATCGTGAAATCGGATGATGGTGAAATTTAGGGGTCTCGATTTGAAAATATAAGCCCTACCAAAATCCACCTATACTCTTTTACTTAGGGATGGTAAAAAAACATTTTTCACCGTTTTAAAACATGTGATGCTGTGGTCAGAATATATTAAATTTTAAAACTCAGCATAAACATCACATGTTTTAAAACGGTGAAAAATGTTTTTTTACCATCCCTACTTTTACTAATAACTCTATCCCTAAATCCAAATTTAACTATAAAAAAAAAGGCGGACAAAAAAGGCCCCAAAAAAATTTTAAAAATCGTACATAAAATAGATCCAAATTTCGATCTCACGATCACCCGTGAAAATTATTTATAATCTTTTAAAATATGAGATAGTCTCTTTAAAATATATTTCGCATTAAAAAAAAAATCCGAATTATTAATTCAGAATAATTCAGTAATCATTCCGTAGGGTTAGCGTTTAATTTTTTAACAAAATATCTTGCAGTATAGGTTTAATAAAAATATAAAAATTTAATTATAAACAAAAAATAATTGTTCAAAAGATTTATTTAGTGCTTTTGTTTAATATATAATTTACGCGTATTTTAGAGCTAAAAGAAAAATATGCACATTTAAAAACTTTCTATATATATACATAATGTATAGGCTGTTAATAATTTTGACGCTTATTTGATCCTGCAATATAACTGAAATATGAAGAAATAATAAAAATAAAAAAAATTAAAAAAGACCAGTACTTTTGTGACCTATGTAATTATGTTGAATAAATTCATTAGATTTATCAATTTGCGAATGAAAAGACTATAAAATAATTACAAAATGATTACATACCGTGCTTCTTTAAAATTTGATAAATTATATGCATTATTAAATTTAAGAATCATTTCTTTGGTACGAGCCATATTCTTTTTTACAACATTGTCATCCCTGTTAAATATATCTGGATTTGGAGAAATGATCCATCTATTTTTGATGGATTTCAAAAATTCCTTCATCGATGGATTAAGCCTACTTTCTATACGATTGTCTTCAGTTTGCTTCTTAATCACACCAGAAAAAGCAACTATCATATGGTTAATAACACCATCACCAAGAAATTTTTTAATTAAACGAACAGTTTCTTCAAAATTTTGGTGGTTATTGATATCTAATTAAATTAAAATAAATTAGCAACATTTTTAAAAAGGTTTCCAACAAATAAAATAATTTTAATAGTAATAAATACTAATAACAAGGATTATCGCTTGGATTCCATAAGTACACAAATCAATTAAATTTTCAATTCTTGATATGTGTTCAGCATTATTAATCATTGCATCGAATATACCCGGAGTGTCGACTAGAATAAATTCTCTACCATCAATTTGAATTGAATTTGATTGACATTCTCTAGTGACATTACCCTTAAAATAATGAAATACAAATTAAAGTAGCTTATTCTTAAAAAGTTAAACAAATAACGTGTGTTAACAAACCATAGTGCTATCTGCAACAAATGAATTACTATCAGATATCCAATTTCCTAATGTACTTTTACCAGCACCTATAGAAGTGCATAAAATTTGTAAACAAACTTTATTACATTTGCTAAATAAAGTCAAAATAAAGTTAATTAGATATCTACCGGTGCATCCCACGATTAAAATCGCAGTATTTTTAACCTCTTTTGGATCTATATTAACTTTTGGCAATTCTTCATCCGTGGTGTTTCCAATCTTTTTTGGATCTACATTAACTTGTGGTAATACTTCATCTTTAATTTTTTCACTTTCCATGCTAAAATAAACCTGCTGAAAGGTTATATCAAATTTATATTATTTATCAGGTATGATGATTGTAATTATTATCATTTGAATTACAGCTGGACTTTGAATACGGAGAGAGGTACCTTTTTTTTTTCTAGCGATTAAGGTCGAACTACTTTAAGTTTGATATAATGAAATTACTTTGGTGACAAGTCTATTAAATAAGCAATAAAGAATTGTGTTTGTGTTAAAAGTATGTTATTTCACGATTAAGCGTTAAAGAGGATTATATTATGATTTGCAATTACGAAAGAGCTCACTATTAAATATTATTATGAACAATCGTAGCACTAGATTTCTTTAAAAATACTATTGTTTATAGAGTGTAAAACTCATATTAGTTTCTGGTGGAATATCGGGGCTATTTATGCATATCATTTAGCTAAGAAGGATAACTATTACATCTATTGATTATGTCATATCTAACAATTATATAACTTATATAAATCTGGATACAGAGAACAAAAATATTAGATACAACTATATTTTATGCTTAAGCAATCCTATCAGCTGATAGTACTTGATTTTATTTTTTACTTATTTGTTGTGAGAGACAAACGTGAATAGAGTAGTATTTTTGTGTGAATTGTTGTTATAGGCTATTGAATTCTGACTTCAATAAATCCAAATTTA